GTTGGGGGTTTTGTGCAGGGTCTGATTCAGCAAAGACCGCTTCCTGACTTGGGTGTTCCTGGTTTGTGGGGCATCTTGTGCATCGAAGGGCAAAATATACAGTAAAAGATGTCAGTAGGGTTGATAATATGAGTTAGAAGTTTATACAGTACACACAGAAACCATCTAAAAAGTTCAGCCACTGACAGACACGTTTACCTACTGGATAACAAAGAGGTTTGTCCATCCTTATTCTCAAGTATCAACGACTGGAGCTACTGGACAGTCAGTGGTCACTGTCCACTGATTCGCCAGATATTTTCAATAGGAGACAGATGTGGACAGTGCTAGGACACAAAGTAGTCCTCAGTTCATGTTCTGTATCTGTCTGTCCTGTTACTGTGGTACTTTCAATGCATACTACAAAGTTCAGGCACATTTAGCAGCAGGTCCCACCCTGGCTTTTCTTTACACTGCAGCAGGTGTAGTTAAACTGAGAGAACAACTACTGCCTCCTCTGGTCAAATACAGCACATACACCTGAAGTGCTACATTGATCTCTCCTTTCCCAGCATGCAGCTGTAACATCTTGTATTTACCAAATTATGGCCAAGTAGAAGATAAATCAGCACAGGACGGAAAAGACCGTGCCACAAAGTCTGCTGCTCGGTGACTGTAATAGTCACCGAGCTTGAACTGGAGCTGAGCTGAAGGAGGGAAAGGAAAGTTACAGTAGAAAGTTAGTGGCTGCCACACAGTAATGTAGGTCACACAAACTCAGGCTCAGGTTTGAATTGTAAGCAGCTGCCTTGACCACTTCCTGCCTGGCACGGAGAAGGAGAGGAGTGCTGAGCCTCAAGGTGGTTCTGCTGCTTCGCCCTCCCACACTGTAAAGTTGAGCTGAAAAATGGCTGACAGGAGAGGGAGATAAAGGAGGAGGAGGGAGAGGCAAAGACATTATCTTTTCAGAAAAACAAGAGAAGAAGTGCAGGGGCTTTGGTAGGAGAACTCTCAGACATTTTCTCTGACTGTTCCTCTGTGTGTCTTCTGGATGAACAGACTTCCACAGGTGACCCTTTGACCTTTGAGGCAGCTCTCAGACTTTCTTCAACATGTCCTGTAAAACAACAGTAACCTTTTCTGGAGGGAAAAAAAGATCATTCCAAAGCTCCAGCTCAGTTATATTAGCCTGGTGGACTCTGGATGGGTGGAGGAATGGGAAGACAACAGATGGAAAGGTGGAGATGCCAAGAATAGAGTTCAAAAACGAGGGTTATGACAAATTTGTTGAGAAGTTTGACAACTTCTTTAACTGTTTGTCCTGGTGTGGTCTTTGTGAAGGAAATGCAGCCAAACATCCGTCACCACCTTCACACAAAAACCCCTGAACTGTGCCGCAGTGGTGACCTGGAAGCTGCGCTTCACCAACCAACCAGAGGGAAATCACAGATGCAAGTCAAGGAAGTCAAACTCCAACTAAACTTCTGAAAAGACACGAAAGTTGGAAATCAGGGCTCCGCCTGCTGTGGGCCAGCTGTAGAAGAGATAAAAGTCAGGAGCAGTGCACCATGGGAGAAGACAGATTGGGTGGTGGGAAGTATCTGACTCCTCAGAGGAGACTCAGTCACAACAGTTAATCTGCAGGACAAATGGAAAGACCAGGCGACACTGGAGCAGAGAGACTGGGAGACAGACGGACGGAGGACAGAGTTTGCCTATGATGCAGGAAAGTAGAGGAGCAGATGTTTAGTAACCGACAGACTACATCTGAAAAACATCCCCCAGCTTCTCAGCATCTCCTATGTTTTTGAGAAGAAGAAGAAGAAGAAGAAGAAGAAGAAGAAGAAGAAAAGAAGAATCACATTTATTACAGTTATTATACAGTAACAGTATAGAGACGGTGTTGGAGGGAGGGGGGGCACAGACTGTGTTTTGGACAAACCTGGCTTCACTGGTGACGGTGTTGGAGGGAGGGGGGGCACAGCAGCAGAGCAGCTGTGGTTCTTTCCCTTCTCATCGGTCAGTCTTGATCAGATTTCTATTCAGAGGTCCAAGAAATCAAAGGTTGTTGGTGATTGTTGTTGATGCTGACAGTTACCTAGGCTTTATCTAAAACCCACGTACACATAAGAGGAGACCAACAGAAAGATGGCTGAGGGGAGAAGGAGAGGAAAGAGGATGGACTTTTGAATGGAAATTCAACACCAATACGTTCTGCCTCCCTAACTTCATCACTTCAACATTGCCTTCTCCTCTTCCTTTCTCTGCTCCACTTCTTTGAATTGAAATAAGGCAGGGGTGTAACGGGCCACAGCTGGCCCGGCCCACCACCCTCAGATGTTTCAAGAATCCCAGATGCTCAGCTGGAACTGATTTCTCTGTGAAAAGAAAATGTGACCATTCCATAATTTTTTCCTAAAAACACAGCTCCACATGCTGCTGGTCCAAAACAACCATGGCTGTAACTGTAACTGTATCCAGATGTTTCCATCTGTGACCTGGCAGCGCGGCAATAAAAGATCCAGCTCTGACCTGGTTATGTCAGGAGACAAAGACTCCAACCTTCAACATTTAGGAACACTTTGGGCCATGTAACTAGTTGCTTTGTTTTTTGAGGTAATTTCAGAAGATAATGATTTGAATGAAATAATCAGTGTTGTTTTTAATAAGTGAGTGGCGGTAAATCTTTGTGATCTACTCTCCTACCAAACCACTGTCCAGAAGATATTGGGGTGGTATAGTTCACCATGGCAAATCACCATGGAAGTTTGGATCAAGACATTTCCAAATGTGAAGGACCAGGATGTAAAAGAAGTAGAAGATCAATATTCCTGGTAATTTACTGGTATCAGAACTGCTGAGACACTAGTGACAAAACTGAAGTGGACAAACACCAGAATCACTCAGGTCCAGCTCAGGACCGGACTGTGAGGTTCAGACCAAGAAAAAGTCCAAGTTCAGATGATCTGGTCTGAGAAGACTGAAGCTCAAACTCTGGGACTGAAGAGACGGTGACGATGTGTATTAAAGGGGAGAGGAGACGAAGAACTGTGGAGGAAAAACACAAAGTAAACCAACCAGAGAAAAAAAATCTCATTCCACTTTATTGATATGATCATCATTATAAATATCATTACCATTATCATTGTTACAAACAAAATCAATTCACCTTGAATTTGACTTAGTAAAAAAAAAAGAAATGAGAGAAAAACATTGAGCACCACTGTGGTTAAATTCATAAATAACATTAGGGTTTTGTGTTTCTCTTTTCTGTTGGACTTGAGTCTGATTCACCTCATGCCGAACGTAAATGGGAATTTTATTTCCACCATTGTCATGTATTTGCCTCTGTCCAGCAGGACTCCCAATGACAATGTACAAAAAAACAAAGAGCAAATAGAAGGTAGAGCAGGAGAACAATAATAACAATAACCATAATTATAATAACAATGTACCCAACAACAACAGCAACAATAATAATCAAGTTAAATTGCACCATATTGTTGAAAACTCAGCCTGCGGCAGTAAGAGATCGACTGCAGTGTTTCAGAACCAAACCACTGAGCGCGTTTAAAAACTGAATGGAGACGAAGGGCTGCAAAAAGTCAAGTAGATCCGATTGAAGTTCTATTTTTGACTGTGTTCTTCATGACTTCAGGTTCACTCCACTTTGGTACATTATGATTCCACTGAGAGGAAAATAGAAGATTATAAATGACTGAAGGAGGTGCATGGATGGAAGTCCCAATGATGTTAGAAATAAAAAAATGACAGTAAATGCGTCTTTTGGAAACTGTTAAAAAACAGAAAATGTTTTATAGGTTGGTCATCACTTCTTTTTTAACCTAATCATTTAAATTTTCTTTATATGCTTGCACTAAAAGAAGACCTTTTCCCTAAATTTCTAATTTTTACAGCCGTCAACTAGCCTTGAATAAAGCCTGGATTTTTCTGGAATCGAACTAATTGAATAATTTTCTGTAACAAATCGTCACTGATCAGCTCTAACCCGGGGATGTGATATTTACTCTGCTATGCTAAATGCAGCTCACCTTTAGCCATATTGGGGCTGGGTATGGAGTACATGATACAAAACACAAGTACCGATATCCTAGTAGTACATATCTCAGTACCTGTTACATTTATTAACATTTCACTATTGGTTTTTGCATTGATAAAAAGCCCTACACGTAACATTCTCAACAAAGTCTTTACACAAGCTAAAGTACATGTGCTCGAATCAACCAATCAGAGGCCGTTTGACTGAATAGGATCAATTGGGAGGATGAGTTAAAGATGAATCACTGCTGGGAAATCAGTGCTGGGCGTCCACACTGAGCACGGCACGGCCGTGAGCCACAGCCGACGTACAAAGTGGATAAAAAGGAACAGGTCAAGTAAAGAGAGCGAGGTCTTGTTGGGACTTCAACCTGGACAAATGGAACAGGTCAAGTAAAGAGAGCGAGGTCAACCTGGACAAATTAACTAACCAGGGGTTTTAACCTCGTTCAGCTGCTGTGGCGTCTTCACAAAGCTGTTTTTCTGATTGTGTTCAGTGTGAACGCACCAGAGGTTTGACACCCAGATCAACTCAGTGGTCTGTGCCAACAAACCACAGCCTTTAACTTTTCCACTTTAACAATTCCACTAAAGCATTGCATTTCAATTAGGAAAACTATAAAAAAAAACAATGGAAATTTTTAAAATAATAATAATAAAAATAATCCCATTGGAAATGATTTTTTCAAGGTCAAGAACAGTTCCTGCTAGTGAAACTCCAGTCCAAATGTCAAGAACAGTTCCTGCTAGTGAAACTCAAAACCTGAGTCCAAATGTTTTTTTTTTTTCTGGAATGCAACTTCTTAAATGTGCAGTTTGTAAACACTAACCATTGATTAAGAAAGTTTGGAATAGAAGAAAAATATGTTCCAGTCGGAGGGTGACAGTGGCTCGTCTGTCTACCTGTGGCGCTCCAACCACAAAGAAACCAACTGCTGGAACATTAGGCAAACCAGAAAGAAAATTACGGACTGTAGCTTTAAGGGATCAGACAGTTGTTAAGCTGTTAAGTTGTCCATTTAGGGTGGAGGGAGCATAGGTGGGGTGTTTCTCTGAGAGGGAAGTCCATGAAGAAGACGTGTCTTCACAGAACCACACCAGTACACACTTAACATACAAATACACAAATTCCTGATTCTCAGTTTTTAGGGCCTTTCTCTTTTACTTTGGTGGCACATACAAACCACACACACCCTCCCTTCTTCCTGCTTCCTCTTCACTTTCTCTAACTTATTTGGTTCCGCTTGGCCCTCGTCCTGTCTCTCAGTCCCTCTGTCGGGCAGTCTGTCAGTCTCCTGTCCACACTCCGTCTACACCTTATCCAGGAGAGACCTCTGGCAGTAGAGGAGGCGACGAGGCGTGCCGTACTTCCTGAAGAACAAAAGCACTCCCAGAGTGATCACGACCAGCACCAACAGCAGGACAGGGATGACTACAGCCACGGGCCCCGCCCCGCCCTGCGACTCGTCCATTTCGATGATGATCACTTCCTCTTCTCTGCCCTTCTTGGGCTCCTCGCTGTCGCAGCCCATCCAGTCCCTGAGCACAGACTTGGGGTAACCAGACTCCACCTTCATGTACTGGTTGTTGAACTTCCAGTACTTGTTAGCTTTGTAGAAGTACGTGTAAGCTGCAGGAACAAGGCATGAAAAGTTAGCTGACATGTTATAAACAGGCGGGGTATGTAATTCTTCAAACATCTTTGCAGCTCTTCACAGGTTATTGACCATGCTAACATGTCATTGTTGTTAGCCCGCAAAGGGCAACTGAGATGTATCAACACCAAAAGCTAGGATCAGGAAACGCAATCTGTTTTTTCCCGAGACGGTGCAGGCATCATTGGCTTCATTCAGTGAGCACGGAGAACCGAATTTAAAGCATTAGCGGAAATATAGTTGCATAAACACGACAACGATGAACACAGCATTAGGTCATGTTCTGAGTCTTACTTTCTCTTGGACAGTTAAGGCATCACTGGCTCACACTGAACTGGTAGCCCTTGTTTTTGTACGACCAGTCAACATACAAAGTCATTGTGCCGTTCCCTCCTGATTGGTCTTCGACCTGATGGCTTCTGTTAATGACCCAGTCTACCTATTGTCCAGACTCTGGACTATTTACTTCTAAGACGTCTAAACTCACATCCATCTTCACTCATGATGGCAGCCTTGATGTTGTCTGGTGCTCCGTTCCACATGCTGATGGGCTTCGGATAGCCACTGTCCACCGTGCGGGTCTTCTCGTTGAAGCGGTAATACCTGTGAAGTACACAGAGACACAGTGTCATGTGTTGTTGTTTCCTGTGGGTCATATACTCCAGAGCGGCTCCACTGTGAAGTACCTGAAAAACATTTCTCTTTAATAATGATATGAATCTTAGATCACCTGGGAAAGATCAGGTCAGATCAGAGTCAGAGTCAAATGTTGAATTTTGCTGTCAACAAACTCAGGGAAATGCACAGAGGCCAA